TTAAAAAAAATAATAAAATTTAAAAAAATAAAATATAACTAACATCCCTACAAGGTTGCCCCATCCCTGAACATGACGCAGCTCCCCCACCACCTCCCTGTCTTCATCTCCAACTGCTATCCCCCCTTTTCTCACTCTGCTTTGGCCACTGGTTTCCTGTTTCTCCAAAATTTCAGGCATGTTCCCACCTCAGGGCCTTTGCACTTGCTCTTCCCTCTGTTTGTAACTCTCTTCCTTTAGATATGAGCCCTCTCTCGCTTCCTTCAGATCTCTGGCCAAATGTCACCTGCTCAGAGGGGCCATTCAATCTAAAATAATCCCTCCTCACTCTCCACTCCCCTTACTCTGCTCTTATGCTTCTTCATAGTACATGCATCACCATCTAAAATATTATAGATTTATCTATATGGTTATTTATTTCTCCCTATCCCGGCTCTAGAATGTCAGCTCCCTGAGGACAAGGGTATCTGTCTGTTTTGTTCACTGTTTTGTCCCTGGCCCCTAGAATAGTTGACATGCATAAAGTATATGGTCGATAAGAATTTGTTGAATAAATGAGTGAATGAACAAGTGGAGATATGCTCCAAGAGAGCTCTTGTTAATTCAGATGAGAGGGGGAGGGATCAGCAGAGTAGGGTGTTGTTTAGGGCTGTTCACAAGGATCTGGCCGCCCCTCTCTCTGTTCAGGTCAAGGTAGGACCACACTTCTCACCCTCTTTGAGGTTAGGCATGCCATGTGACTTGTGCGGACCAAGGAAATGTGACAAAGTAACATTCCAGGGTAGAGCCTTAGGAACGGAGGCAGGATTTGCTGTGCCTCTCCCTTTTCTGTTTCAATGATCATTCCCCACACAGCCTCCATCCTCCTGGGTCCCTGAATGACTACTATGGATAAAGTTCTCCAGCCAACAATGGATATAAAGTACAAGGGAGAAACGAACCTGTGTTGTGTTAAACCACATGGTACCTTGTGTACTTTGACCTCTCTTGACTGATATGGAGTCTCTGGTGCCTTCCACCCCAACCCATACCTCCACCACCACCACCCCCCCAGGAAACTGTCAAGAAAAGACATGGAATCTGCACATAGCTGCTCAGACCCTCCCCCCCACCATTCCTCCCATGAGGAAAAGGGTCCTCCGAAATGGAATACCTCTTGTTCATCTCCCCTTCCTTTTTCTAGCCCTTAAGGAAGGGTGAGTGGATGGGCAAGGGCATAACGTATAAGATGCAGGTAATTCTCCTCGGTCGCTGTAATGACAGCAGCCACTGGCAAGAGGCTGACAGCTTTTAGTCTGGTTCTGGATTTATGACACCCAGGTGAGGAGCCATTCCGCCAAGGGCTCCCACCCCACAGGGATGGTTTATGGCTGAGCGCTGGCCAAAGGTAGAAGTGGTGGAAGCTTCTTCCCCATTCCTTCCCAGAGACGGCCCATAATAGCATTCTTAGAATCTCTTAGAATGCTAAGCTGCTTCTCTAGATTGAATCAGGGAGGGAAATCCTGAGACAAGAATGTCCAGAGGGTCTGGGCTCACCCCCACCTCAGCACTGAGCCCCTTTATTAAGTCAAACACCAGCATCCAATCTTCTGCCTTATGACTGGGAATTCTTGCTACATGGGTCCCTAAACCCCTCCATTAACCCATATTGGTGGACTAGACTCTTCTACAACTCCTTACTGAGCACCTCAGATATGCCTAATAATTTCCATTTGTTCTCCCCAACCCTTGGAAGATGCATTCTTTTTTTTTTAGCATTTTATTTTTAAGTCATCTCTACACCCAACATGGGGCTCAAACTCACAACCCCGCAATCAAGAGTCACATGCTCCACTGAGCGAGCCGGCCAGGAGCCCCAGGAGGGCAGAGTCTTGATTTAGACACTTGACAGATATTTCTTCTGTGCCTACTATGCACTTGGCTATCACAGCAAACAAAGCAATTCCTTCTTACTGAACACCTACTATGCTCCTGGCCATTTGCTTCCATTTGAAGGTGGGATCCATGAAACTTTATGAAGATCTGATTGTTGTTTCAGTCACTTGACAAATATTTATTGTAGCCTCCCTATGCGTCAGGTCTTAGGGTTTAGTAACGAGCAAAGCACAGGAGTCCTCTGTGGTTTCTCATGGATCCCATAGTCTAATAGGGACTCTAAACTCTCCTTGACTAATGAAGATAATGAATCTTAGAGAGATTAAATAACTTCCCCACAGGCATACTGCTAGTAAAGTGCAGGGCCAGGATTCAAATCCGGATATGTATGACCTAGAGCCCTATCACTAACTGAGCATCTACTATGTCAGGCACTGAGCTGGAGATTTTAAGCATAAACATGCTTGACACAGAGGAGGCAAATCAATAGTTTTGCTGAATAAACAAAATGGATGGAATGATGGGTATATAGAGGACAGATGAAGAGATGGCTGGATGATGGATGGAGAGAGGGATGACTGAATACACAGACAGAGATGGATGGATGGAGGGATGGATGCATGGAAGGAGAGATGGAGAGACAGATGATGGATAATGGCTGGCTGAAGAGACAGGTGGATGGAGAGATGTATGGGGGGATAAAGAGATGGAGAGATGGATAGATGATGGATGGATGGGTGGGTGGGTGGGTGGGGAGCTGAGCTATAGATCTGTTACCCACAAGAGTTCCGTGAGGTAGGAGTTATCATCCCATTTTATATATGAAGAAACCACAGCTCAGAATCATGAACTCACTGGTGCCAAAAGTCAAGAACAAGTCATAGAGCAAGATGGGGGAGAGTAGGTTCCAACCTTAGTCTACCAGACTCCCAAAACCCTTTCTAGAGCACTATCATCACAGTTCCCCTTCAGGTCCTATCCTAAGTCTCCTGGCATCTCACTCTAGAGAGCCTTATGCAAGGCTCAGTGGGACTGAGGGACGGGGTGGGGATCAGGGATGAGAGTAATACTTTCAGATGGTAACTTCATGAAAGCACTAGATTGTGGTCCTATTAGCTATAGATAGGTCAGAATGAAGACCAGTTCTATTTGGGTACACATACATGTACACACACTTACAGAAAACACATGGTTCACACAGGAATCTGCTCACATGCATACAAGGTAGGTACATACACCATTCATACATACACACATATGCACACCCTTCTAAAGACACATGTCTACACTTACATGCACACACACACATACATATTAGCACAGACAAAATCATAACTCAGAGACATACTCTTCCACACTTATGCACACTTTCCTCACACACCATATGCTAGACATATTACACGCACACATTTACACAGACTCACACTCCGTGAGAGTGAGGGAGGGGAAAGCGGCTTCCGACTTCAATGAGACCCATCTCTTTTCCCCCTCAGAAGGCAAGAGCAAGAAGGCTGTCACAAATCCCTACATGCACATGCAATCGTGGAACACATGCAAAGCCACAGTCAGGGACACAGAACTGCAGACACACACTTAGACACATCCACATCCAGACACACTCAGGGACACACAATGAGGGACACGTTCATCCTGAGACACACATTCACACACAGGAAGACACACCTGGACCCTCACGTTGGCAAAGCTCCTAAACTTTCTCCCTTGATTCCCACCCAACCCTATTCACACACTGAAACTCATGCCTAAATAAACACACCAGGATATACTTGAATCATATCCCGGGATGTGATAGACACAAAGAAAGACATTGTTTCACACATTAGCTTCAAGTCTGAGAATTTGGACTGAAAGCCCTCACCAGTGCCAAGCCCGATATCATTTCACCCCAGGGGTGGGACAAAGCCTGGGCACAGTGTTTGGCGCCACCAACAACCCCCCCTCCAACTTGCCTTCAACCCTTGGGAGCAAAGACTTCTTTTCCTTTCAGCAAGGAGAAAGAAAGAAGTGGGGGGGGGTGGCCGCTGGGGGCTGAACCGGGGAGCTGGTGAAGTTAGGGAAATACTGGGCAGGAGAGGGAGCTCCATGCATCCCAGTTCCACCTACTGGGAGGAGTCCCACAAACAGACTGAAGAGGGGAAAAGATGGGAGGGGGAGGCCATATCTGGAGGACTCCGAGGTAAGTTTGCAGTGGAGGGTGCCTTCTCCCCTCTCCCCAGGACACCAGGAACACTGTTACTGATCACCACTGAATCTCCCTGCGCCTTCCCCAAAAAAACCTCTGTGGCAAGAGAAGCTGGAGGATGAAGGTGATGGAGGAGGACAGGATGGGCTGAGGGAAGGGGCAATCCTGTGCTTCTGGGGCCTGTGCCAGCCCTTGCCCCTACCCCAGTCTTGAGAGCCATCTGCCTCCTAGAGAGAGTGAGTTCTGGGAATAAATATTCGGCACATGGTGAAGCAGATAACCAGGAAGGAGATGCTGCGGTGGGGGTGGGGGGTGCAGGGGAGAGAAAAAGACAGACTAAAAGAGATACAAAGTCAGAGACAGAGCAAAAGAGATAGAGACAAAGACAGGGAGAGACAGAGAGAAGCAAACCAGAGGAGAAAGAATAGATAGAGACTGAGAGAAAAAGACAGAGAGGGAGACGGGACGACTCAGAAGCAGGCAGCAATCCTGAAGGTGGAGACACTCGGAGACCCCGTGGTTCCCCCATTCAGAGGCAAGGTCCCTCTCAGCCCGCCGAATCTACCCTCCCGCTCCGCCCCACTCGGCCGGACCGGCTCAGTTGCGCAGCCCTTGCCGCCTGTGCGGGGAGCGGAGCGAGCCTAGTACGTTGTTGCCACTCGGACACTGCTCACTAATAATGAGAAGCAGTAATAATAATAACAAGAATAAACGGCGCGGGGTGGGGGGCTCGGGTCCCGGGGCTCCTCCGCATCCAGCCCCCAGCCCCGGGAGGGCGCCCCCAGGCCGGGGGCTCAGGGAAGCTGGGGGGCGAGGGCCCCCGGGGGCTGCGGCGGCGCCGGCGCGGGCACCACGCCCCCCCGGGAGTGCCCCCCGCGCGGCGGCCACTCACGATTTTCTCGGAGGCGCCCGCGCGGGACACGGTGCCGTTGAGCCCCACGAGCGAGGGCAGCGTCTGCGACATCCAGTTGGTGACCATGGCCATGGTGCTCAGCACGGCCCCGATCTTGAGCAGCGGCACCGACATCGCGCCCCCGCCTCATGCCCCGCGGCCGCACGCCGCGCGTCCCTTCTCCGGCCCGCCGCCTGGCGCTCGGTCCCTCGCCACCCAGCCGCCCCGGGGGCGCGAGCGCGAGCTGGGGGCCGGGGCCGGGGCCGGCCGGGGGGCTCGCGGACGCGGGCTGCGGCTCGGCGCGCCTGGCGGGCTCCGCTTATAAAGCGCCGGCTCGGCCCCCCACCCCCTCCCGCGCCTCCGCGCCGGGCACTTCCAGCCGCCGTGACGTCACGGCTCCGGACCGGAGCCCGGCGGGGGCGGGGGGCGCCCAGACTGCCCCCCCTCCCCAGGCCCCGGCGCCGCCCCGCCGGGACCGCCCCCCCGGGTGAAGGCCCCCTGCGGCGGTGTTCCCCACCTGCCCCACCCCCACCGCCGCGGCATTCCCAGCCCCGCCCCCCCAGCGGTGTTCCCCCCCCCCCCCCAGCCCCCGGCACTCCCGGGCCACCCTCCGCGCACAGTCCCTTTCGGAGCCCTCGGCGCTCGACCGCCCCCCCCCCCAACCCCTGGGTTCAGTGGGCAGCTGCCCCACGCGGACCACCCGAAGCTGGCAGGGGCCCGGAGTCGCAAGCCCCCACCCTCCTACGGTTAGAACACCGACCCGGCTCTCTGGAATCCGGGAGCGCAGGCGTCGGGGGCCGTGGGGGCGAGACCCGTGCGCGCCCCTGAACCGGGCAGCACAGGGTCTCCTTTCCCTAGGGGAAGGGGCTTCCCCTGTACCACTCTGGGAACCCCTCGGTGGATTCGGGACCAGGGAAGCCCAGAGTGGTAGGTCTAGAGCCAGTAGACGCGACCGCTTGGATGACGGTGCGGCAGTGGGGGGTCACCCGGGCAGCCGGGAGGATCTCCCACTACACCGAGGGGTGCATCGTAATCCGGGGCGGCTGAGACGGAGGAGCCAGCCTTTTGCAGACTAGTCCCAGGCGGGTCTCCACTCACAACTGGAACTTGGGGTGGGGGCGGGAAACTGACACTTGGAACCTTCCTCCGGTCCCCAGGGCTCGGGGGTCCGCCCCTTCCACTCGGAGGGAGTGCAGAGCGGTCCCCCACCCACCCACGCACCAGCCGGCGGCGGGGGCGGCAAGGAGGCCGGGAGCAGCACCCGGCGGTTTTTAATTTCCTCTGTTTTCCCTGCACTCACGCCCCCTCCCGGCGTCCCCGCATCACCTCGCGCTGCCGCCCCGGCCGCCGCCGCCGCCGCCGTCGCCCGCAGCCCGCGGCCGCCGCCGTCTGGAGGCGGCGATGACTCAGGCCTTTCCGGGCCGTGGCCGCTAGCCGAGGGCTAGCCGAGGGAGAAGCACTGAACACGGCGGTAGGGGTCTTGAACTGCCCTTTTTTCTGAGCTTAACTCCGAGGCAGGTGCTGAGCCCTGGTGACCCCCAGCAAAGACCCCTCCGCCTCAGTTTCCTCATCTGCAATGTGGGTGGTTGTGAGGACCCATGTACCTAATATATGTAAAGGGCTCAGCTGTCCTGAGAATCAAATTAAAGATTTACTGAACATCTACTATGTGCAAGGAACTGCGAACAACAGATAAAAATGCCTTTGTGGAGCTGAACACTGTATGGGGCAAGGTAGATAAGAGGTAGAAGGGGGAGGAGGAAGAAAAAGTAAAATAGGTAGGCTAAGGGGAGGAAGGGGCATCCAGACAAAACAGGAGAGTAAACTTTAGTCAGGATGGTTGGAGAGTGATATTTGGGCAAAGACCTGAAAAACTTAAGGGAGGAAGTCATTTGGGTATCTGAGGGAAGAGTTACAAAGAGAACAGCAAGTGCAAAAGCCCTGAGGCACTAAGATAACTTCAAGGAAAGGCCAGTGTGATTGGAGCAGAGTGAGCTGGGAGAGCATGTGTGTGTGTCTAGCAGAGTGGGTGCTGTGCTTGTAAAGTACTTTGCAGTGTGTCTGGGCCGTGCTAAGCATTTAATAAGTAGCAGCTGCCTTTGTTATTATTTGCAACTGATGATAAACTTTAAAAAATGAAATGTGTCCTACCTCCTTGCACTACAGCTTGCATTTACAAGTGCTGAACACTTAGCAAATGTGCTGGCTGAGCCCCAGTTGCAACCTCCTGGGAAAAGTACAGCAACATCCCTATTTGCATCCCTATTTGCAGGTGCAACTGGGCTTGAAGAGAGGGGACCAACTTGAGGCAACCCAGCAGGTAAACAGGGGCTCAAGATTTTAACCCAGGCCTGTCTGATTTCAGACTCCAAAACCACTGGGCTCCAAGGTCTCCCCACCTAGAGAATTTGGAACCCACTGACATTCTCTCACTCACCATTGGTGCTGTGGGAACATGTCCTATAGCTCTTCCCGTCAGGCTCTTCCAGGGAGTGGTCTACCCTCACAGCTGCTTTTGCTGTCTCTACTGCCTCACCTCCTGCCTCCTGAATGCTCCCAGACTCCTCTCACCAAAGGCAGTAGCGAACTTCCAACCTGCCCATCCCACAGCCTCACATGAGCCCTTATGTAGTTATCCCATAGGTTAGTCTTCATGGATCATTCCCTCTTCCTTTTTTCTTTCTTTCTTTTTTTTCTTTTAAGATTTTTATTTATTTATTTGACAGAGGGAGAGAGATCACAAGTAGGCAGAGCAGCAGGCAGAGAGAGGAGGGGAAGCAGGCTCCCCGCCGAGCAGAAAGCCAGATGTGGGGCTTGATCCCAGGACACTGAGATCATGACCCGGGCTGAAGGCAGAGGCTTAACCCACTGAGCCACCCAGGCACCCCTCATTCCCTCTTTCTTGAAAGTAATTTCTCTTTTGACTTCACAAACACCTTATCATTTCCTAGTTCCACTCTCCCCTCTCTGGCTGCATCATCATCTCTCCTGTCTTTTCCCTAAATGTCTATGTCTCCCAGGGTTTTGTCCTGGGTCCCCACTCATCTCATTCTGTGTAGTGTGCCTGGACCATCACACCCACTTCCAAAGTTTTGGTTCTGTCTGGCACACTCCCACCTCAGGACCTTTGTACTTGCTGTGCATTGCTGTCCACTCTACCCAGAACACTTTTTTTTAAAGATTTAATTAATTTACTTGAGAGAGAGCATGCATGCGAGTGGGGAGGGGGCTGCAGAGGGAGAGAGAGAGAGAATCCTCAAGCCACCTCCCCACAGAACTCAGAGACTGACACAGGGCTACAGCCAAGCACCCTGCAATCATGCCCTGAGCCAAAACCAAGAGCCAGATGCTTAACTGACTGAGCCACCCAGGTGCCCCCCAGAACTATTACCACAGATACACATTTAGCTGTTCCTTTATTTATATCTCTGCTTTATCATTGTGTAGGTCAGAGGCATGCCCTACCTTTCTCCAGAAAACTACATTTCCCAGGTTTCCTTACACACTGGCTTCCTGTTAGGCTTATCCAATGGGAGGCACTGGAAGGAGACTGGAGTGTGGAAGGAAGGGAGAATCCAGGGTATTTCTCCCTGCTCAGTCTGCTTGGGGTTGTGGTGCTTTCCAGTGGTGGCTACATCCCCCACCATGGTCCCAGCTCCCACAGAAGAGCCCCCTTCTCATCACAACACCCATCTGTAAGGTCCCTCAAGCAGTTCTGTACTCTGGTCTGTTGATGGACTCCCTGATCAACACCATCAGTTTGGCTTCTCAACTCTTCCATCTTACACTTAACCAATTCCCTGTATTAAATTCCCTCTCCTTGAAACACCTAGAGTGGTTTGTTTCCCCAGCTGAAGTCTGAGTGATATGGCCATCATGTCTGAAGGACCTTCCCTGACCACTTCATTGACGATAACAGCCCCCACCACACTCTGTCCCTTACTCTTCTTTATTTTCTTACACAGCATTTATCCCCATGTGACATGATTTTTATTTGTTTATGGTCTGTCTCCTCCACCAGACTTTCAATTTCACAAGGGTACCTACATAGCCATATTTTTCACAACTGAAACCCCAGGGCTTAGAATAGTGCTTGGCACATAGTAGGTGCTCAAAAAAAGTGTTGTTGATTGACTGACTAAATGAATCTATAGCTAAGGCTCCCAAAGGTATATCTACAGCTCAGATCTTCAGCTGGAGTTCAGACCCTATGCCCATCTGCTTCTTGAACATTCTCACCTGTGTTTCACAGGACCATAACACATGACACCCACCAGAACAACCTCAGTCAGAAAGAGGGGCAGTGCTGCTGATGATGTAGAGATATGGGAACCTGTTGTTACGGAGAATATAAAATGTTGCAACCACTTTGAGAAACAATCTAGCCCTTTCCTAAACAGTTAAACAGGGGCGCCTGGGGGGCTCAGTCAGTTGAGCATTGGACTCTTGGTTTTGGGTCAAGTCATGGTCTCAGGGTCATGAGCTCAGCGTGGAGTCCGCTTGAGATTCTTTCCCTCTTTCCTTCTTCCTCCTCCCTCCCCCACCAAGCCCCTGCTTGCACTCTCTAATATAAATAAATAAATCATCTTTTTTTTAAAAGAAAGTTAAACAGAAATTTACCACAAGACCCAACAATACCATATACCTGAGAGAAATAAGTCCATTCCAAGATTTGTATGTGTATATTCGTGCCAACATTTTTCATCATGAAGGAGACCATCCAAACGCCCATCAAGTAGCAAATGGATAAACAAACTGTGGTACATCCATACAGGAAACGTCACTCAGCAATAAAAAGAAACAAAGAACAAACATGTGCTACAACATGGACAAATCTTGAGAGTATTTCACCAAGTGAAAGAAACCAAATACAAAAGGCCACATTTTGGGGCACCTGGGTGGCTCAGTCAGTTAAGGATCTACCTTCAGCTCAGGTCATGATCCCAGGGTCCTGGGTTCAAGCCCCACATTGGGCTCCCTGCTCAGGGGGGAGTCTGTTTCTCCCTCTCCCTCACCCTCTGCCCCTCCTCTGGCTCCTGCACGCTCTCTCTCTCTCTCAAATAAATAAAATTAAAAAAAAAAAAAAAAAAAAGGTTGGGGCACCTGGGTGGGTCAGTGGGTTAAAGCCTCTGGCT